AAATCAATTTTTATTTTTTATATAAATTAATAATAAAAGACATAATAATTTTATCCTTAACATAAATTTTTTTAATTATTAATAAAAAGATAGACCATTAAAAACTTATTATTAAAAGATTTAACTTCTTTATTAATAATTAAAAATGATGCAATAGGTATAAAAACTTGTTTGTTCTTTTTCTTTATAACAGAATTTATCCTTTTCTTACTTACCTCATACCAGAAAAAGAACATACCAGTTTTATTTTTTGAAAAAAAATTTGTTCATAACACTAATTTGTTGATAATGCTCTATTTGTTTCAAATAACTGTTGTTTTATTTTTTTTTAATTAGGAATTTGATGATAATTTATACTTATATTACACTTAAAAAATAGATAAAGAGAGACTTCTGATAATAAGATGACTAATTGAAATAAATAAATAAGAGAAGGTTAAAATAAAAAATAATAATAATGATAAATAAGCTTTGGTTCCCTTGGTTTTGGGTAGGATTTTAGGGGCTAATGAGATAAAGGGACTAATTTGGCGAGTGAATGGTGGCATTTTAGTTGAGTTATATGGATTGGAAATAAGCTTCTGAGCATTTGGAGGCAAAGGTACTAAAGGTGGAAGAGTTCTGGTATAGGCCTGTGAACTTTGGAATTTGGTTTTCTTTAGGATAGATTTTGCAGTAGCTTCTTGATGTTTAACATAGGAAAAGGCTTCTACAACAGATTTACGGTGTTGACAAACGACAAAACGCTATAACTCCACCTTTAAACCACCAATAAACATGGCAATAGCTTGATCTTTTAAACTGTTGATTTTTTTTTTCCTCACAAAGCAATAGAGAGAAAATCAGGAGGAAGATGAAGAGTAGAACATAAACGAAGTTGGATAGGAGTATAACACTCCAACTAAGATCTTCTCGTTAATAATCTCTGCTTTATATAGCAGAAAACAATCTAAAACCAATTCAAAAATTTCTTTTTTTTTTTCTTTTTGGTCTAAATCAACTTTTCTACATTAAAAAGCAATAATAAAAGTACATCTAAAACAAGGAAAAGACAACCACTTGCTATAAAATAGATTAGGTTACAATACTTTCTTTATAATTTGTAGTATGCATTTTCGTTCATTGTCATCCCTATACACCAAAAAACTCCATTGTCATCCCCCTATTCTCCAAAAGTACCGTTGTCGTCCCTTTACTTCGGAAAAACAATATACTGTCCTCCCTCAATTGAAACCGTTAGTAACATTAGAGTAACGTGCTCATTTCACAGAAAAGTGTTAAACTTAAACTTTTTATTAAAATAATCATTTTCAATTCCTTCCTCCAAAAAAAAAAAAAAAATTTCAATTCCAATTTTTTGTGGGAGGGACCCTGGTCATGCCACATCAGCTCATAACCATTCCTTCTATCTTATCCCCCTTGTTTCCTCGTGCAGCCTAATCCTCAAATTTGTAAAACCTTTTACACAGCAAAATGTTATGCTTTTTTTTTTTT